CTTGCCGAAAGAATGTACGGTGGACACGTAAAAAAAAAATAATACCAACTTTGAACCCCTTCAATTCCTAGAAGGTCCTAACCCCCAAAAAATCATTTAAGTGGGTCCTGCTCTGATTCATTACCTTTCATTTGAGCTATGTCCGGTGTCGAACTTTGCCGTACGGAGCTGGCGAGACTTGCCGAAAGAATGTACGGTGGACACGTAAAAAACAAAATAATACCAGCTTTGAACCCTTTCAATTCCTAGAAGGTCCTAACCCCCAAAAAATCAATTAAGTGGGTCCTGCTCTGATTCATTACCTTTCATTTGAGCTATGTCCGGTGTCGAATTTTGCCGTGCAGAGCTGGCGAGACTTGCCGAAAGAATGTACGGTGGACACGTAAAAAAAAAAATAATACCAACTTTGAACCCCTTCAATTCCCAGAAGGTCCTAACCCCCAAAAAATCATTTAAGTGGGTCCTGCTCTGATTCATTACCTTTCATTTGAGCTATGTCCGGTGTCGAACTTTGCCGTACGGAGCTGGCGAGACTTGCCGAAAGAATGTACGGTGGACACGTAAAAAAAAAACAATACCAGCTTTGAACCCCTTCAATTCCTAGAAGGTCCTAACCCCAAAAAATCATTTAAGTGGGTCCTGCTCTGATTCATTACCTTTCATTTGAGCTATGTCCGGTGTCGAACTTTGCCGTACGGAGCTGGCGAGACTTGCCGAAAGAATGTACGGTGGACACGTAAAAAAAAAATAATACCAGCTTTGAACCCCTTCAATTCCTAGAAGGTCCTAACCCCCAAAAAATCATTTAAGTGGGTCCTGCTCTGATTCATTACCTTTCATTTGAGCTATGTCCGGTGTCGAATTTTGCCGTACGGAGCTGGCGAGACTTGCCGAAAGAATGTACGGTGGACACGTAAAAAAAAAAATAATATCAGCTTTGAACCCCTTCAATTCCTAGAAGGTCCTAACCCCCAAAAAATCATTTAAGTGGGTCCTGCTCTGATTCATTACCTTTCATTTGAGCTATGTCCGGTGTCGAACTTTGCCGTACAGAGCTGGCGAGACTTGCCGAAAGAATGTACGGTGGACACGTAAAAAACAAAATAATACCAGCTTTGAACCCCTTCAATTCCTAGAAGGTCCTAACCCCCAAAAAATCATTTAAGTGGGTCCTGCTCTGATTCATTACCTTTCATTTGAGCTATGTCCGGTGTCGAATTTTGCCGTACAGAGCTGGCGAGACTTGCCGAAAGAATGTACGGTGGACACGTTAAAAAAATATAATACCAACTTTGAACCCCTTCAATTCCCAGAAGGTCCTAACCCCCAAAAAATCATTTAAGTGGGTCCTGCTCTAATTCATTACCTTTCATTTGAGCTATGTCCGGTGTCTAACTTTGCCGTACGGAGCTGGCGAGACTTGCCGAAAGAATGTACGGTGGACACGTAAAAAAAAAATAATACCAACTTTGAACCCCTTCAATTCCTAGAAGGTCCTAACCCCCAAAAAATCATTTAAGTGAGTCCTGCTCTGATTCATTACCTTTCATTTGAGCTATGTCCGGTGTCGAATTTTGCCGTACGGAGCTGGCGAGACTTGCCGAAAGAATGTACGGTGGACACGTAAAAAACAAAATAATACCAGCTTTGAACCCTTTCAATTCCTAGAAGGTCCTAACCCCCAAAAAATCAATTAAGTGGGTCCTGCTCTGATTCATAACCTTTCATTTGAGCTATGTCCGGTGTCGAATTTTGCCGTACAGAGCTGGCGAGACTTGCCGAAAGAATGTACGGTGGACACGTAAAAAAAAAATAATACCAACTTTGAACCCCTTCAATTCCTAGAAGGTCCTAACCCCCAAAAAATCATTTAAGTGGGTCCTGCTCTGATTCATTACCTTTCATTTGAGCTATGTCCGGTGTCGAACTTTGCCGTACGGAGCTGGCGAGACTTGCCGAAAGAATGTACGGTGGACACGTAAAAAACAAAATAATACCAGCTTTGAACCCTTTCAATTCCTAGAAGGTCCTAACCCCCAAAAAATCAATTAAGTGGGTCCTGCTCTGATTCATTACCTTTCATTTGAGCTATGTCCGGTGTCGAATTTTGCCGTACAGAGCTGGCGAGACTTGCCGAAAGAATGTACGGTGGACACGTAAAAAAAAAAATAATACCAGCTTTGAACCCCTTCAATTCCTAGAAGGTCCTAACCCCCAAAAAATCATTTAAGTGGGTCCTGCTCTGATTCATTACCTTTCATTTGAGCTATGTCCGGTGTCGAACTTTGCCGTACAGAGCTGGCGAGACTTGCCGAAAGAATGTACGGTGGACACGTAAAAAACAAAATAATACCAGCTTTGAACCCCTTCAATTCCTAGAAGGTCCTAACCCCCAAAAAATCATTTAAGTGGGTCCTGCTCTGATTCATTACCTTTCATTTGAGCTATGTCCGGTGTCGAATTTTGCCGTACAGAGCTGGCGAGACTTGCCGAAAGAATGTACGGTGGACACGTAAAAAACAAAATAATACCAGCTTTGAACCCTTTCAATTCCTAGAAGGTCCTAACCCCCAAAAAATCATTTAAGTGGGTCCTGCTCTGATTCATTACCTTTCATTTGAGCTATGTCCGGTGTCGAATTTTGCCGTACGGAGCTGGCGAGACTTGCCGAAAGAATGTACGGTGGACCTTTTAAAAAAAAAAATAATACCAACTTTGAACCCCTTCAATTCCCAGAAGGTCCTAACCCCTAAAAAATCATTTAAGTGGGTCCTGCTCTGATTCATTACCTTTCATTTGAGCTATGTCCGGTGTCGAACTTTGCCGTACGGAGCTGGCGAGACTTGCCAAAAGAATGTACGGTGGACATGTAAAAAAAAAAATAATACCAACTTTGAACCCCTTCAATTCCCAGAAGGTCATAACCCCCAAAAAATCATTCAAGTGGGTCCTGCTCTGATTCATTACCTTTCATTTGAGCTATGTCCGATGTCGAACTTTGCCGTACGGAGCTGGCGAGAATTGCCGAAATAATGTACGGTGGACACGTAAAAAAAAAAAAAAAACAGCTTTGAACCCCTTCAATTCCTAGAAGGTCCCAACCCCCAAAAAATCATTTAAGTGGGTCCTGCTCTGATTCATTACCTTTCATTTGAGCTATGTCCGATGTCGAACTTTGCCGTACGGAGCTGGCGAGACTTGCCGAAAGAATGTACGGTGGACACGTAAAAAAAAAATAATACCAACTTTGAACCCCTTCAATTCCCAGAAGGTCCTAACCCCCAAAAAATCATTTAAGTGGATCCTGCTCTGATTCATTACCTTTCATTTGAGCTATGTCCGGTGTCGAAGTTTGCCGTACGGAGCTGGCGAGACTTGCCGAAAGAATGTACGGTGGACATGTAAAAAAAAAAATAATACCAACTTTGAACCCCTTCAATTCCCAGAAGGTCCTAACCCCCAAAAAATCATTCAAGTGGGTCCTGCTCTGATTCATTACCTTTCATTTGAGCTATGTCCGATGTCGAACTTTGCCGTACGGAACTGGCGAGACTTGCCGAAAGAATGTACGGTGGACACGTAAAAAAAAAAAAACAGCTTTGAACCCCTTCAATTCCTAGAAGGTCCTAACCCCCAAAAAATCATTTAAGTGGGTCCTGCTCTGATTCATTACCTTTCATTTGAGCTATGTCCGATGTCGAACTTTGCCGTACGGAGCTGGCGAGACTTGCCGAAAGAATGTACGGTGGACACGTAAAAAAAAAAAAACAACTTTGAACCCCTTCAATTCCCGGAAGGTCCTAACGCCCAAAAAATCATTCAAGTGGGACCTGCTCTGATTCATTACCTTTCATTTGAGCTATGTCCGGTGTCGAACTTTGCCGTACGGAGCTGGCGAGACATGCCGAAAGAATGTACGGTGGACATGTAAAAAAAAAAATAATTACAACTTTGAACCCCTTCAATTCCCAGAAGGTCCTAACCAGCTCCGTACGGCAAAGTTCGACACTGGACATAGCTCAAATGAAAGGTAATGAATCAGAGCAGGACCCACTTAAATGATTTTTTGGGGGTTAGGACCTTCTGGGAATTGAAGGGGTTCAAAGTTGGTATTATTTTTTTTTTACGTGTCCACCGTACATTCTTTCAGCAAGTCTCGCCAGCTCTGTACGGCAAAATTCGACACCGGACATAGCTCAAATGAAAGGTAATGAATCAGAGCAGGACCCACTTAAATGATTTTTTGGGGGTTAGGACCTTCTAGGAATTGAAGGGGTTCAAAGCTGGTATTATTTTGTTTTTTACGTGTCCACCGTACATTCTTTCGGCAAGTCTCGCCAGCTCTGTACGGCAAAGTTCGACACCGAATATAGCTCAAATGAAAGGTAATGAATCAGAGCAGGACCCACTTAAATGATTTTTTGGGGGTTAGGACCCTCTAGGAATTGAAGGGGTTCAAAGCTGGTATTATTTTTTTTTTACGTGTCCACCGTACATTCTTTCGGCAAGTCTCGCCAGCTCCGTACGGCAAAGTTCGACACCGGACATAGCTCAAATGAAAGGTAATGAATCAGAACAGGACCCACTTAAATGATTTTTTGGGGGTTAGGATCTTCTGGGAATTGAAGGGGTTCAAAGTTGGTATTATTTTTTTTTTTACGTGTCCACCGTACATTCTTTCGGCAAGTCTCGCCAGCTCTGTACGGCAAAATTCGACACCGGACATAGCTCAAATGAAAGGTAATGAATCAGAGCAGGACCCACTTAATTGATTTTTTGGGGGTTAGGACCTTCTAGGAATTGAAAGGGTTCAAAGCTGGTATTATTTTGTTTTTTACGTGTCCACCGTACATTCTTTCGGCAAGTCTCGCCAGCTCCGTACGGCAAAGTTCGACACCGAACATAGCTCAAATGAAAGGTAATGAATCAGAGCAGGACCCACTTAAATGATTTTTTGGGGGTTAGGACCTTCTAGGAATTGAAGGGGTTCAAAGTTGGTATTATTTTTTTTTTTACGTGTCCACCGTACATTCTTTCGGCAAGTCTCGCCAGCTCTGTACGGCAAAATTCGACACCGGACATAGCTCAAATGAAAGGTAATGAATCAGAGCAGGACCCACTTAAATGATTTTTTGGGGGTTAGGACCTTCTAGGAATTGAAAGGGTTCAAAGCTGGTATTATTTTGTTTTTTACGTGTCCACTGTACATTCTTTCGGCAAGTCTCGCCAGCTCTGTACGGCAAAATTCGACACCGGACATAGCTCAAATGAAAGGTAATGAATCAGAGCAGGACCCACTTAAATGATTTTTTGGGGGTTAGGACCTTCTAGGAATTGAAGGGGTTCAAAGCTGGTATTATTTTGTTTTTTACGTGTCCACCGTACATTCTTTCGGCAAGTCTCGCCAGCTCTGTACGGCAAAGTTCGACACCGGACATAGCTCAAATGAAAGGTAATGAATCAGAGCAGGACCCACTTAAATGATTTCTTGGGGGTTAGGACCTTCTAGGAATTGAAGGGGTTCAAAGCTGGTATTATTTTTTTTTTACGTGTCCACCGTACATTCTTTCGGCAAGTCTCGCCAGCTCCGTACGGCAAAGTTCGACACCGGACATAGCTCAAATGAAAGGTAATGAATCAGAGCAGGACCCACTTAAATGATTTTTTGGGGGTTAGGACCTTCTAGGAATTGAAGGGGTTCAAAGCTGGTATTATTTTTTTTTTTACGTGTCCACCGTACATTCTTTCGGCAAGTCTCGCCAGCTCCGTACGGCAAAGTTCGACACCGGACATAGCTCAAATGAAAGGTAATGAATCAGAGCAGGACCCACTCAAATGATTTTTTGGGGGTTAGGACCTTCTGGGAATTGAAAGGGTTCAAAGTTGGTATTATTTTTTTTTTTACGTGTCCAACGTACATTCTTTCGGCAAGTCTCGCCAGCTCTGTACGGCAAAATTCGACACCGGACATAGCTCAAATGAAAGGTAATGAATCAGAGCAGGACCCACTTAATTGATTTTTTGGGGGTTAGGACCTTCTAGGAATTGAAAGGGTTCAAAGCTGGTATTATTTTGTTTTTTACGTGTCCACCGTACATTCTTTCGGCAAGTCTCGCCATTCCGTACGGCAAAGTTCGACACCGGACATAGCTCAAATGAAAGGTAATGAATCAGAGCAGGACCCACTTAAATGATTTTTTGGGGGTCAGGACCTTCTAGGAATTGAAGGGGTTCAAAGTTGGTATTATTTTTTTTTACGTGTCCACCGTACATTCTTTCGGCAAGTCTCGCCAGCTCTGTACGGCAAAATTCGACACCGGACATAGCTCAAATGAAAGGTAATGAATCAGAGCAGGACCCACTTAATTGATTTTTTGGGGGTTAGGACCTTCTAGGAATTGAAAGGGTTCAAAGCTGGTATTATTTTGTTTTTTACGTGTCCACCGTACATTCTTTCGGCAAGTCTCGCCAGCTCCGTACGGCAAAATTCGACACCGGACATAGCTCAAATGAAAGGTAATGAATCAGAGCAGGACTCACTTAAATGATTTTTTGGGGGTCAGGACCTTCTAGGAATTGAAGGGGTTCAAAGTTGGTATTATTTTTTTTTACGTGTCCACCGTACATTCTTTCGGCAAGTCTCGCCAGCTCCGTACGGCAAAATTCGACACCGGACATAGCTCAAATGAAAGGTAATGAATTAGAGCAGGACCCACTTAAATGATTTTTTGGGGGTTAGGACCTTCTGGGAATTGAAGGGGTTCAAAGTTGGTATTATATTTTTTTTACGTGTCCACCGTACATTCTTTCGGCAAGTCTCGCCAGCTCTGTACGGCAAAATTCGACACCGGACATAGCTCAAATGAAAGGTAATGAATCAGAGCAGGACTCACTTAAATGATTTTTTGGGGGTTAGGACCTTCTAGGAATTGAAGGGGTTCAAAGTTGGTATTATTTTTTTTTTACGTGTCCACCGTACATTCTTTCGGCAAGTCTCGCCAGCTCCGTACGGCAAAATTCGACACCGGACATAGCTCAAATGAAAGGTAATGAATTAGAGCAGGACCCACTTAAATGATTTTTTGGGGGTTAGGACCTTCTGGGAATTGAAGGGGTTCAAAGTTGGTATTATATTTTTTTTACGTGTCCACCGTACATTCTTTCGGCAAGTCTCGCCAGCTCTGTACGGCAAAATTCGACACCGGACATAGCTCAAATGAAAGGTAATGAATCAGAGCAGGACCCACTTAAATGATTTTTTGGGGGTTAGGACCTTCTAGGAATTGAAGGGGTTCAAAGCTGGTATTATTTTGTTTTTTACGTGTCCACCGTACATTCTTTCGGCAAGTCTCGCCAGCTCTGTACGGCAAAGTTCGACACCGGACATAGCTCAAATGAAAGGTAATGAATCAGAGCAGGACCCACTTAAATGATTTTTTGGGGGTTAGGACCTTCTAGGAATTGAAGGGGTTCAAAGTTGGTATTATTTTTTTTTTACGTGTCCACCGTACATTCTTTCGGCAAGTCTCGCCAGCTTTGTTCGGCAAAATTCGACACCGGACATAGCTCAAATGAAAGGTAATGAATCAGAGCAGGACCCACTTAAATGATTTTTTGGGGGTTAGGACCTTCTAGGAATTGAAGGGGTTCAAAGCTGGTATTATTTTTTTTTTTACGTGTCCACCGTACATTCTTTCGGCAAGTCTCGCCAGCTCCGTACGGCAAAGTATGACACCGGACATAGCTCAAATGAAAGGTAATGAATCAGAGCAGGACCCACTTAAATGATTTTTTGGGGGTTAGGACCTTCTGGGAATTGAAGGGGTTCAAAGTTGGTATTATTTTTTTTTTACGTGTCCACCGTACATTCTTTCGGCAAGTCTCGCCAGCTCTGTACGGCAAAATTCGACACCGGACATAGCTCAAATGAAAGGTAATGAATCAGAGCAGGACCCACTTAATTGATTTTTTGGGGGTTAGGACCTTCTAGGAATTGAAGGGGTTCAAAGCTGGTATTATTTTTTTTTTACGTGTCCACCGTACATTCTTTCGGCAAGTCTCGCCAGCTCCGTACGGCAAAGTTCGACACCGGACATACCTCAAATGAAAGGTAATGAATCAGAGCAGGACCCACTTAAATGATTTTTTGGGGGTTAGGACCTTCTAGGAATTGAAGGGGTTCAAAGTTGGTATTATTTTTTTTTTACGTGTCCACCGTACATTCTTTCGGCAAGTCTCGCCAGCTTTGTTCGGCAAAATTCGACACCGGACATAGCTCAAATGAAAGGTAATGAATCAGAGCAGGACCCACTTAAATGATTTTTTGGGGGTTAGGACCTTCTAGGAATTGAAGGGGTTCAAAGCTGGTATTATTTTTTTTTTTACGTGTCCACCGTACATTCTTTCGGCAAGTCTCGCCAGCTCCGTACGGCAAAGTTCGACACCGGACATAGCTCAAATGAAAGGTAATGAATCAGAGCAGGACCCACTTAAATGATTTTTTGGGGGTTAGGACCTTCTGGGAATTGAAGGGGTTCAAAGTTGGTATTATTTTTTTTTTACGTGTCCACCGTACATTCTTTCGGCAAGTCTCGCCAGCTCTGTACGGCAAAATTCGACACCGGACATAGCTCAAATGAAAGGTAATGAATCAGAGCAGGACCCACTTAATTGATTTTTTGGGGGTTAGGACCTTCTAGGAATTGAAGGGGTTCAAAGCTGGTATTATTTTTTTTTTACGTGTCCACCGTACATTCTTTCGGCAAGTCTCGCCAGCTCCGTACGGCAAAGTTCGACACCGGACATAGCTCAAATGAAAGGTAATGAATCAGAGCAGGACCCACTTAAATGATTTCTTGGGGGTTAGGACCTTTTAGGAATTGAAGGGGTTCAAAGCTGGTATTATTTTTTTTTTTACGTGTCCACCGTACATTCTTTCGGCAAGTCTCGCCAGCTCCGTACGGCAAAGTTCGACACCGGACATAGCTCAAATGAAAGGTAATGAATCAGAGCAGGACCCACTTAAATGATTTTTTGGGGGTTAGGACCTCAAGCTAGCGAACAATAAGCCAGCGAGCAATAAGAAATACGCGCCAATCTGATCATGCCTCAAAACCGAAGACTAGTAATAAAATGAAACGTCCTTTGAAATCTGATGACAATCATTTCCAGTAGGAAGACGAAATGCAATTTATTTTCACAAATACAAAATTGATTAGTTATTTGTTAATTTAATACAACTTTTTTTTTTAAAGCCGAACATTTAAATTGCTTTTAGCTAATCCTTTCGGGTTTATCGTCTTTATAATAATGAAACAATTGATAACAATAGTTTATACTAAACTGGTGTAACGATAAAGTTAAATCTTCTAGCTTATATATGGGTTTGAAAAGAAAAGAAAAAAAAAACAGATTGATTTTGGAACGTCAAGTATTTTTTTTCAGATTTTCAGTTGGAAATAAAAGCTGATAACTATACGCAGTTTTTTTCTTTTGTCAAAGAACTAATAACTTTTTAAAATTATTCAAAAGTATGTCGTTGAACTGGTAATTTATTTATTATATTTTGATAGGAAGAGTGATTAGTGTAAGAGAAATACACAAATGGAATGAGAAATGAATTCACTTAAAGATTTTGGTTAATCTAAACGACAAATTTTTTGAAACCAAGATTATTACAACTTTTCAAATAATCACAAATGATAGGCAATGGGCTAAGGTTGCCTGGTCCCAAAGACTCAGGTGAGTAAAGTTACAGAACTTCTACAACTGAGGTCCAAAGTTGGGGCATGCAGACCCTACACCCTCCCAACTTTAATTCGTAAAAAATTCCCCACGGCAAAGCTTTTGTCCACACTTGGTACAAATGATAGGCAATGGCCTAAGGTTGCCTAGAACCAAAGACCCAGATGAGTAAATTACGGAACGTCTTTAACTGAGAGCCAAAGTTGAGTATAGAGATCCTACCCACTCCCAACTTTAATTCGTAAAACAAAATTCCCTATGGCAAAGCATTTGTTCACACTAGGTACAAATGATAGGCAATGGCCTAAGGTTACCTAGACCCAAAGACCTAGGTGGGTAAAGTTACGGAACTTCTACAACTGAGTTCCAAAGTTGGGGTATGGAGACCCTACCCATCCCAACTTTAAATCGTAAAAAAAAACCTACGGCAAAGCTTTTGTCCACACTAAGTACAAATGATAGGCAATGGCCTAAGGTTGAATGGACCCAAAGACACAGGTGGGTAAAGTTACGGAACTTCTACCACTGGGGTCAAGATTTGGGGAATAGAGACCCTACCCCCTCCGAACTTTAATTCGTTAAAAGTTCCCTACGGCAAAGCTTTTGTCCACACTAGGTACAAATGATAGGAAATGGTCTAAGGTTGCCTAAGCCCAAAAAACCAAGGTGGGTAAAGTTACGGAACTTCTACAACTGAGGGCCAAAGTTGGGGTATGGAGACCCTACCCCTTCCCAACTTTAATTCGTTTAAAATTCCATACGGCAAAGCTTTTGTCCACACTAAGTACAAATGCTAGACAAGGCTATAAAGATGCCCGGATCAGAGGACCGTGAGTAAATTCACGGAACTGCTGCAACTGATGTCCACATTTGGGGTATGCAGACCCTACCCTATCCGAATTTTAATTCGTAAAAACTTTTCTTCGGCAAAGTTTTTGTCCACACTAGATACAAATAATAGGCAATGCCTTAAATTTGCCGGGACCAGTTGGCCCAGGTGGGCAAATTCACGGAACTTTTGCGACTGAGGTCAAAAGTTAGGGTATGGAGACCCTTCCCCCTCCCAATTTTAATTCCTAAAACAATTCCTATGGCAAAAATTCCACACTAGGTACAAATGATAGGCAACGCACTAAAGTTACCCGAACCAGATGGCCAAAGTCGGTAAATTCATGAAACTTCTGCAACTTAGTTCCAAAGTTGAGGTATGAGACCCTTCCCCCTCCAAAATTTAATTCGTAAAAAAAACCCCTACGACAAAGTTTTTTTTCCACACTAGCAAAAAATGATAGGCAATGCCCAAAAGTTTTCTGGACCAGATGGCCCGGGTGGGTAAATTTACGTACTTTTTGCAACTGTGTTCCAAAGTTGAGGTATGGAGACCCTTCCCCTCCAAACTTTAATTCGTAAAAAATTCCCTACGACAAAGCTTTTTTCCATACTAGGTACAAATGATAGGCAAGGCCCTGAAGTTGCCCGGACTAGATGGCCAAGGTGGGTAAATTCACGGACCTTCTTTAACGGAATCCAAAGTTTGGGTATGGAGACAATACCCCTTCCCAACTTTAATTCGTAAAATATTCCATACGACAAAGCTTTTGTCCATACCAGTTACAGTGATAGGCAATGCCATGAAGATGTCCAGACTAAATACCAATCATAAGCTATAGTTTCAGTTTGCCCAGACAAAAGGCTAAGTTTGGTGAAATAACAGAAGACTATACCCTTCCTAGTTTAATTGATAAAAAAATCCTTACGGCAAAAAATTAGTCAACATCATATACAAATACTATGCAATGGACTAAGGCTGCCGGGTCCTTCTTGGGTTATTTAATAGAAGGCCTACACCAGAGGTCCAAGTTTTGGATTCTGGTCAGACTACCCCCGCTTAAATTTAATAACAATTATTTTGGATATCCTTAAATGATTAAATGATATATTTTTTTCTATGAATAAAGCTTAAGGATATTTCCAAACGAATCAAGGTTATCCTCACAAATTCATTAAAGGATGTCAATGATAATAATGATGTGGCATTATGGGATTTCAATAAATGCATTCTTAAAAGATATCTGGAATCATATATTGATATACTTAAATGATGTATTGGTGCATTTAATATACATGTATATTTTTTTTCCTTAAATGATGTGTTGATATCCTCATGTAAATACGAATACGGATATGAATTAAGGAAAATGATTCAGCAAAATTTGCGATGTCCTGAAATGGTAAAAGGGTATCCAGACCTGAATTATGTACTGATATCCTTCAATGATTTCTTGTATCCTTTACTGAATTATGTGTATGTAGGTATATAAAATTATATTTAAGTGTATAATTATTTTTTTCTTTAGATAATTTATTGGTATCCTAAAACGAATAAAGGATATCCCTTAATGAATTATGGATATCCACAAGTCACTTCATCATTTAAAGACAGCATTATATAATATAATAATGCCCACAAATAAAGGAGAACGGATAATATCTAAGCAGGAATTTGTGATATCCAAAAAAAAGTAAAGGATATCGTGCATTGATTTAGTGCATTCTAACAATTAATTAAGGATATCATGTAAAGAAATAGGGATATCCTTTAATGACAAAATGTGTTCATTATTCCATTGGAAGATATTCATAATTATCTGCATAGGGTTAATGATTATTCATTATCAAAATATATTCTTAGATGAGTATCCTTGAATGAAAAATTTATTTCTTCAACGTGTTTTAGACATTTTTTTATCGTTAAGTGATATCCTAATTCAATCAGATTAGGGGTATTACATGTTGATTATATGATATCCTTTAATTCTTTATTGATATTCTTTAATGATATCCCAAAAGATATCTCAAATTCAATTTAATGATGGATATCCTATATTGATTGAAGAACATCTCTTTGTGATCAAATGATATCCATAAGGTATATTCCTAAAGGAGATTGGCGTTTATTGAACAGAAGGGTCAAAGAGAACTTCCGCAAATACCAACGCAAAGGCAGTTGGAGATGTTCGGAAATGATTAGTATCTAGAGATTCAACTGGACAATTTTGAATCGCTAGCATGAAGTCTCCATTGCACTTCCATAACAAAACACACAAGAGGGGCAATTTTCAAAGCGAACAAGGATCAGGAATGCTTTTACAGGGGGATCATATCAGCTAATCATCATGAAGATTTGGATTAGAAGTTGACTAACTGAAATGACTAGTACAAGAAAAGGGAGAATGAGTTTAAAATCGATGGTACCAGTCTCACTGAAGGTGATCGATAGATGTGATATATTGAACGGAGATATCAATTTTAAAGTATTCTGTTACACAGGTGAAGACAACAGTTATAGTGTACCCTTCGAGGATATCAAGGAACGTGAGTACAAGCCATGCAGACTGCATTCTTCTGACCCAAAACTGATTACTGCTGGGTGTGACATATTATCACGTCTCTAAACATCGCAAGAAACAGAACACATCAAGTTGTAGATAGGATGGACCTAAGCATGCAGATAAAGGTCCTTTGTGGAAGATTGCCAAATGTCATTTTTACAAACAATGCAGTACATACATCACACACCTTCGCGCATCTGCTATAACGTCAAATGGTAAAGGATATTATCAACCGAATAAGATCGAACGATCCAACGTCTAGAAGATTTACCGCAGCCAGAAATACATATGAAATATAACCAATGAGACAAGATACAATTTAACTCTAGAATGGACTGTCACATCTACCGAAAACCATTTCAAAATAACAGTGTCCTGATCACGATCATCTCACTGAAAAATATTTCGGGCTCCAGTCAACAGTCGTAACTTGGAGTATCACCTCCTGAGATTTGTGCCCATCGTCTTTAATTTTCTAGTGCAGCGGGTTCAATGCATATATCTGTTCTTAAAGAACTTGTCATGATGGGACATATT